ACAATCTCACTTGCGTAGTGCTATGCCAGAAAAAGCCTTTGCTGCAAGGAGCTTAAAGCAGAGTGACAGCAGGGAATAAAGACAATTAAAAACAACTATACGCATTGTACTGTCAGGCTATTATTTTAGCACAATAGATCTTATAGTAATCCAAAAGCTGCTCTAACCAATTTTAAATTGGTCTCTGCATCTACACAGCCTTTGATAAGCAACCTTAGCAAGTTTACTAACAGCAATTAGTAATCCAAGACATGTATTGCACAATGGCATGAAAGAAAAACTTCAGCAAATACAATAATTTTATTAATCCCTCCAAATTCATGCCTGAGAGTAAGTAGTAGATTATGTAAGGCAATACTGAAGAGGGAGAAAATAAATAACCCTAAGGAAAGTGGGTTAAGAAGTTGCTGTTTGAAATTCTATGAGCATCACTTTTTGCTATCTATACTCTTCATGAATTGGAGAAAATACACTTAACCCATTCTGTCGCAATGTTTCTGGTGTGCCTCTCATTCTAAGTAACTAAGCCACTTATTTTGTGGCATCACTAATAGTAGTTTCTTCAATTACTGCTAGCTGTGGTATGCACAGCTGTCCTACGCATTTATACTGTGTTTTCCAGTATCACACATTCTGTTTACTGGACAGAACACTGATAGTTTTCTCATATTAAAACCCAGACAGACTTGTCTTCTAAGTCTCACCAAAAAATGGTGACAGTATTACTTCTAAGAAGTAGCCTCCTTCTTTCCCGACACTCTGCTCTTTTTTGCAGGCTTACACATTTATGTGGCCACTCAGCAAACTGCATCAGTGAACTGATCTTTCTAGTACAAAAAGACACAAAAATGTAATCTAGACAGCTCTCCAAGCTGGGGAATGATAGATCCACTGTGAACTTGGGCTAGGAGTAGTGAAGAAATAAGCAGCTGGTTCTGCTTCTTTTTCACAGTAGTTCCAGCCAAGCTTATTTTTGAAATTATGGCTTTAGAGATCTATTTTGCCAGAGTGTATCTAAAAAAACCCAAAAACAAACCCCCAAACTACAAAGGAATTCCCACAAGCTTACACTCCTCCCTCAATCTTCTATGGGAAGTTTAACAATTGGTGATTAGCAACTACGACATTGAACTATTTCTTGTACTTTGAAGCATTTGAAGAATCCTGAACAGCCTCTCACTAGCAGGAGTAGAATGGATTGGGAAGCCAAAGGTGGCATTACCCATGGCTTGGAACAAACACAGTTCTTACACTGATTTTGGAAACATGTTCTGAAGTTATCTGCTGCCAGCATTTTTAAAATCCAAGCCATATTTTCACAGTTTCAGGTCAGGAATCCTACACTTGATTTTAAAAGTGTCTTTCATTTTGAAAAGCAAAACTTCTACTCGCTCTAAAATATTTTGTTATTTAAATTGTTCATCTGTCATCCAAAGCTGCCACTCCCTATCTTGTAGCAAAACATTGAGAGTTAAGCCTGCAACACAAGTTTTCAAAGTTTCAGAACGGCTGTAACAGAATTAAGCTTAGAATGGTTTTCAGTCATGTGTCTCACTGGTGGACAACAGTAACATAAATGAAGCCCTGACACTGCTTTGCTCCATTCCGTGAGAAGTGTATTGCTGAACACACAGCTCCTCTGCATGATGTACGCCAGCAAAGCCCTGTATATTCCTTAGGGTATACCACTCAAACTGCCCACTAAAAACAGAAGGAGCAGCCTTTTAGCAATTATTTTTCCTGAACAACTGTGCTTTCACATGCAAGTAATCTTAAAATCCTAATAAATTTGCCTTCACTGAGTGCCCTTGATATTATTTATTTTGCTGAATAACACAGTGATTTCTTGTTAAATTATTTTAGCAGGACTTATTTAACATCAAACACAAATTCACAGCAGAGATGAGACTGTCCAAGTATTTAATTTCTAAGCAGGGAAATGATCAAACGATTAAGTGATGTTCTTCTACCCTAACTTGAATTCACATTCTTAAAATACATACTATCCATCAGAAATAATGCTTGTGGAGCATTAGTTAGTTAATTAACTTAATCAGAAACTAGTTGGTAAAGTTGCTTCAGTGGATACCCAAATAAGCCGATGAAAACATTCAAGTGTCCCTACATCAACCTATTTGCTATTCTTGGACCACATGCTTCCTTACACAGAGGTTCCATAAACTGACCATCTCAGTCATTCTTTATCATGCACAGTTTCAAGAATTGCATAATTCAAGGTTGAAGGACAGCACATTAGCTACTCCATTCTGCAAGTAAAACATGTAATTGTAATGCTTGTTATTGGTCTATACTTACTCTTTGCTTAATTACACTTGAACCTAAAACATAAAGCATAAGGTAGAAGTCTCTCACTACGCCGTATTATTCAAGGTGGTAGCACTTCCTGTTCTAATCCACTTGGAAGGCTAATCTAGCATAAAAATCTCATGAAATAAAGAACTTCAGCTTCCTTCTCAAAGTTTTACTTTCTTCTCCTGCAAAGCAGTGTTAATGAAATTTCTAACATTTAAGAAAGGCAGAGGCAAATTATAAAGTTACTTCACAACTCCTGAAAAATACCAAGGAGAGAAGTTAAGCTGTAACACAAGGAACTAGTGTAGTACTATGAAGTACTACTTCCCAAAAAGTAGCATTGTACTACTTTCACAACCCTTAAAGTTTCTCAGGTATTTAAAATGGTTATGTGAGACATACATGCAAAAGCTTTGTATCAAGCTTGGTACTAAAAAACCCCCACAAAACACAGAAGACAGTGCTGTGAAGCTATGATGCTGTAGCCTATGTACTAAGACAAATCACACCAAGAGAGGACAGTAAATGGATTAATTTCTACGTTCAAACTATGAACTAGATACACACCACATTAGAGGCATTAGCTGTACTGAAGAGTAGGTTCCCCCATATGCATGGATCCTTCAACGAGTATAGCATCTGACTTTACTGAGTAATAGCCAAATACAGTATGCGTGACTTCAGTGCTAAACCATGTATCAAGTTTTGTTTGGTTTTTTCTTTCTTTATTTTTCTGAAGTTACATCCCTACACCTGGCAGTCACTAATGCGCATTTAATTGCAAATACTAAAAATCCTCTTAGCTACATTAAACAAAAAGTGTTTTTCTCCTTTTATGCTATGATTTAGCTGTATTGTGAGCAAGACACTGACTGACTCAAGCCAAAAAAAACCTGCTGCAGTGAAACAGTTACTGAATTGTGTAGCCTTCAAGTGTCAAAACAGCCAGACAGAATAAAGGAACATGAGCACACATTGCCCAATGGTGGGCTCCTGGCCTTCAGTGCAATTTTTCAAGCCAACTATCTCCTTCGTCATGCACTTATGAAGCTAAAGATGAACTGGCTGATATCTGCACGGCTGTACAAACCCAGAAACACACATTATTCTTCTTTCTATTTCTTCTCTCTGTTCAATGCAATACCTACCCTCCTAGGAATGTATGAAAACTGCCTATTTTGTTTCTCTATAGACTATTTCAAAAATACATCCTTTGCAAGAAGCTCTTTATTAAGTTCTCCAGTTTATTTTTCTAATGGCAGACTATCTAGTGATTTCACACCAAACCAGGTAATAACTCTTGTTTATTCAAGATTCGCCTCCATGGTTTGTTTACATTGTCTTCAACAGATCATTAAGGTCTATTTTTCTTCTCTACAACTGCCTCTCTTTTTTAGTATCAGTTACAGAGCCTGTGCAATTGCAGGCACTACTACGGTATCATAGAATCACAGAATCATAGAATGGCCTAGGCTGGAAGGGACCTTAGAGATCATTTTAATCCAACCTCCCTGTCACGGGCAGGGACGCCTTTCAACTAGATCAGGCAACACATGGGGACCGTACCACACATCATGCTGACTGGATACGTTAACTAGTTAATATACTAACCAAACACGAAACAAATTGTTGACCACAAAACATGAAGCCAGTAGCTCCACAGAGCATTTAAAATGAGTAAGAAAAATCTCAATTATTTCACAAACATTTAAGCTTTCATTTGAAAAACTGAACAATAATCAAATTTCTATCTTTATCACAATTCGCAAGATCTTTGAAATCAGAAGAAAATGAAGGTTGCAGCTTTCCTAGAAGACAAGACATGACTCAGTAAGAACACTATGCAAACAGTTTTCATTAAGGCAATCACAAAAAAATAACACTTTAAGCTGAACATTGAAGTTTGAATATTGGAAGTCTGACAAATCTCTTCTTGGGTATTTCCTAGTTTTCTTGGTGTATCAGTGCTAGTAGCCCTCCTAGCCTCACCAAAAATAACTTTGTTTTAAAGTCAGTTCATGTTAAATTCCATCGAATTATTTTAAATTGTTAATTTCAAATATGTATCCAGATTTAGGCAAGCAAGGGGTCTTGCCTAGCCAAGGTAAATTTGTTTGTACAGCTATATAAAGAAACCCTCTTCACAGAAATCCAGCTTGTATTTAAGGCTATTATATGTCTGGGTTTCCCCATGTACATCTTCTCTTTCATATGGTAACCGTACGGTAAACTCCTTAATGTTTATCAAGACAAACACCTATATATTTGAAAGTACAGAAAGTCCCATTCAGCTGGGCTGCTTTAAGCTTAGAAATTAAGAGACATGTACATAACAGAAACAGGAAGCTCAACATCCAGACAGAAATACAGCAGTCTTACTAAACACCATCCACAGCACCCTTTACAAGTAAGGTCACACTTATTCTAGCATCTTTGTTTTGATACAGAGGGAATTTTTCCATGCATCACCGAAGTTTAAATTAGCTTAGAGCCTGGCTTAAATGCAAGTCCAATGTATTCATTTAGCTCAGCATTTTTGCAGATTTCAGGACATTGCCAACAGGGATACATGGTGTGCCCAGAAGGGGCAAACACAACATAAGTGAGTAGCAATTTCTAAGTCTCCGCAGCTGAAAAACTTCTCTGTTCATCCTGGAGAAGAGAAGGCTTCTGAGAAGACCTTACTGCAGCCTTTCAGTATTTAAAGGGGGCTTACAAGAAAGATGAGGACAAACTTTACAGCAGAGCCTGCTGCAATGGGACAAGGGGTAATGATTCAAAACTAAAAGAGGGCAGAATTAGACTAGATAAAAGGAAGATTTTTTTTTTAACAGTGAGAGTGGTGAAACACTGGAACAGGTTGCCCAGAGAGGTGGTAGAGGCCCCATCTCTGGAAACATTCCACGTCAGACTGGAGGGGGCTCTGAGCAACCGGATCTAGTTGAAGATGTCCCTGCTCACTGCAGGGCGGTTGGACTAGGTGACCTTTAAATGTCCTTTCCAAACCAAGGGATTCTATGATTCTGTATTCCACATCTGCTGTACTGCTGACAGCCTCATGTGTGTGCATACTCCTGTGCCGTCCACAGGAGCTAGAACAGACTGGGAAAATCTATCCACCAGATGGCACAGCTGGGAAGGTAGGGAAGAAAAAAAAAAAAGAAAAAAGTCTGCACACTGAAGCAAAAATGAGTCTGTCATCTTTTCATGTACCATATAGCACAACTAAGCCTGACCCATGACTAGAATTCGGAATACCAGTGCAAGAAGGCAACAGTCTTAAGGCTCATTTGGCTTATTCATTTCACAGTCATGTATCAGTCCAAAAGGTGTTTTACCAAAGCTGTGGAATTTTGTGTTTAACTTGACCTGTAAATCTTGGCAGATTCCCTTATGAGTGACTTCATCAAAAGAGATCTTATTATAAACCTCAAAGTATCTCCAAGATCAGCCAGGCACACAGCTAAGAGCACTAGTATGTCCTTCACTCTTCCATTAAAGCAACAGGAATGGGAATTTAAGTCTGGAGGTAAGAGAAACAAGAGAAAGCACATTCAGACTTTGTGCATATTGTACACTCTTTAGTTTTACTTTCCTCCAGACAGAAGTTATTTACAAGGTAATGTTAACTATTAAACAAGTACTGATCATATTGCAAGAGAAAGTCAATTCAAAGCAAGCTCTCACCTTTCCTTAATTCATCACTCAATCAATGAATAAAGAGGGTAAGAACCTGGTATATGCAAAAGAATGTGGAAATGAAAAGTTAATGTCCTAGAAGACTATCATCATGCATTACACTATGAGTCTTTCTGAAAACTAGCCCAAATTTAACTCAAGGGTTAATCAATCTGGCTTTCAGTACTCAAAAGATCTCTAAAGTAAGTGCACACGCAAGATAAGCACGCACGTCTGCACACACGTTGAGGGCTGAGAAGATGTTCTTGATGAATTCTCCCAAGCAGCCTGGCTATAGGCCACCTCATATTGATACCTGAGTAAAAAGGAAAGGGTAAAATGGTCCAAGTAGGTAATTCCAATCAAAAGGCAAGAT